ATATATATATATATATATATATATATATTTATATACATATGTGTAATGTATGTGAATATATATAATATATATATATATACACATATATATGTGTGTGTGTGTGTGTCAGGGGTACTCTCCCAAGCTATATCCTCAGCCCTTTCATATTCTGAGACACTCCCAGGTTGGCTTCAGACTTGTGATCCTTCTGCCTCAGTCTTGATATCACTGGGATATAGGCATTCACCACTGAATACAGAATAGAGAAGTATTTTTAAAGAGGCCAATATCTGTGCTTTACTCAAAAGATTTTTGAAATCGTTATAAAAGGTGTCATAATAGGAGAGAGTGGAGCACATAGTTTATACAAGTTGGTCGTGATCCACATTGGATTGGCAAGCCAGGGACTTTGCAGAACTTGGATTTCCTTACTGCTTGAGAAACAGAATAGTATTTGCAAATAAATAGGAGCTTACTGGAATAAAAACGTAATGCAGATGCTGATTCTCTTAAATAAATCTGGGCCACCAACTGTGCTTATGTTGGTTGGTAATCATGCATCCTGTACCATCTTTCTGCTTAGTTTTGTTCTCATGAGATGAGGAGTATTGGAACATACACATAGGATTATTAGTTTGTAAGTGCCAGGAAATAAGATCCTATTGAATGGTAAAGCTGAATCTATTTTCAACATAGAGGTAGTTTCAAGATATAAATATAATTAAAAACTTGAATTATGTAAGGAAAAAACTTGCATAAATAAAAAAAAATTAATGGCAACTTGGTTTTATCACCTGAAATAGTAAAGTTAGACATTTCTCAGTCCTAATGTCATGACATGTAGATCTAGCAGGGTATAGAATCAAGATAATTTGAATAATTCTTGAAGTGGCAATAAGGTATAATTTTGACTTTCAATCACAGCTAAAGTTTAAAATAAATTCTCAATAAGCCCAGCTGTTAGGCTCTTATTAGGAAATGAGTTATCTTTTAACATTTTAATAGTTAATGGTAGATTTTCCATTGTAATGATATTCTTCATACATTTTTAAAAAAATGTCCTCATTCTTTATTTTGCATAAGCCTCACAGCATTTTATGATGTAGAAAGGGCAAGAGGTCATCTCTTCATTGATGACAGTCATGGTGCTGCCTACATCTTCAAGTATAATTTGTTATATATAAGGTATTCTTTCTAAATCTGGGGAGGGCCATTCAGTAACCATTGGCATTACATACACTTATCCCTAGGATTTTTTTTCCACTGTCATTTGAAGAGACAAACTCCATCTTACGACTAAAGAAAGAAAATTTTATAGCTTGAAGTGTTTCATTTTCCAAATTTAGAAAAATGCATACAGTAAGAGAAAATAAAGATTTTCCCTTGTCATCATATTATAGGCTGAGTTCCAATACTTAGCTATCAATTTCATAGAAAAATAAGGTAGAAATGACACAAATTAGGTAATTAGCATGACACTTTTTTTCTTCAGAAAAACAAATGAAACTCTGTGCCGTGTATTCCACAATGTCTCCAAATATATAGTTTAAATGAATGTAAATTTTATATGATTTTTGGAAATAGAATCTTTTATAGTAATTTTTTTGACTATCACTATTTGTGAATTTTAAGTTCATATAAAGTAACACATAAATGCTATTTATTTAAAAAATTGTCTCAGCAAATTACATTTCATGTTTGCATTCTGAGACATTTTAATAGTTAATGGTAGATTTTCCATTGTAATGATATAAACAAAAGTTTATGAAATATTTCAAATTTCTTTGTATTTAATGTTATTCACTCCAAACTGTCAAAACAATGTTACTTATTCACATCAATAAATTTATGCTTTAGTTGATATGATTTAAAATGTAGCAAATGATATTGGATTATTTTTGGTCTGATTTATTTATTCTACCTATAGAAACTGATTAGCCAGATAGTTATTGTTCAATGTTGTATAAAACAAACGTGGATGGTTTTAATTTTATATTTACATTTAGTAACTCTCAATGATTGGGTACATATCTGTTATACCATTCAGAATTCTTACTCTGATTACTTTAGGTCATTTTATATTAGATGTTGTTTTCCCCTGTTAAATTGTTTCAAGACATGCTAATCTATTCTCAAATGTGCATCTGCTGGGAATACTTTTTATGCAGATCAGATGGGAGTTTTAAAGGTAAATAAGTGTTGATTTATTTCTTGTAGCTGCTGGGTTTGAGACTCTGATATCATTTTTTAAAAATTTTCTATACTAATTGATATTTTTTCTATAAGATGTTTTAGAAGCATGACATACTTAATCTTCACAGTAAATTTTTAGGTATGACACTATAATCCTTATTTTACAAATGAGAAAGCTGAGGCTTGGAGAATTTCCCAATGCTATGAAGTAAAATGCCCAGACCTATCTATAAAGACCAGCTCTGAGTCACTGTAGAATTTAGTATCCCAGGATTATTTCTATTTTAGTAGTATTGGTAAATAGTAGTAGTAACATTTATCATTTTTTAGTATTTTTGTATTTTTTAGTATTATTTAGTATTCAGTATTATTGTGTAAATTCAGAAATGCGCTATTTGACAACCTGTTGTTATATAGAATATCATTGTAGGAATTAAGGTAAAGGCAATACAATTTGAATAAATCATTAATTTATCAATGATCCAGCAGAGTAGTGATGGATCTAGTATCAGGTGTTAGAATTGTAGCCAGCTCTCTTGGTAACAACTTTTATCTACTTGGGCTTTTAATTTTGATGACATGAATGTTGAAATATTTGGGAACATGAAATAAGTCATGTTTTATGTTATATCTCCTTTCTGCAAAACAAAAACCCTATATAATAATGAAATTCCTTTCTTTTTTTTTCCTAATACAGTGGGATGCATCCTGCTTTCAACCTGGAGTTCACCTCTGTGGCGTGGATCTATCCAAGGAGCATTTGCCTTCAATCTCTGTGTTAACTAGAAATCAAGTAAAGACATGAGGAGATTCGTTTACTGCAAAGTGGTTCTGGCCACTTCACTGATGTGGGTCCTTGTGGATGTCTTCTTACTGCTGTACTTCAGTGAATGTAACAAGTGTGATGACAAGAAGGAGAGGTCCCTGCTGCCTGCACTGAGGGGTGAGTACCTGTGAAGCAAACTGGCAGTGACAACAAAATATAAAACCTCAAAATAAGAATAGTATTGCCTTATTACAAGAGCAGAAGTGTTAATGTACACTTAAGCACATGGAAGCGACTTCCCTCTTCTAGGTCTTAGGGGTTTATTGGAAAGAATGAAGAGTCAGTTAACCTCCCAGATACCTTTAATCTTAAATTCCAGTCTTCTGTGACTGCATGAAAAGAACTTTCAGTGAACTTTCAGATTTTGGCACAAAATTTAAAATCTAGGCTCACAGGAGCCAAAAACCTTTAAAACCCAAATGAGATAGATGGGGACAGTAGCAAACTGGAATGGCATTTGTCATCCCTAATGATTTCCAAATCAGATTCATTTTTTTTTTTTTTTTTTTTTTACAATAAAACACTTGCAAGTCACCAGATTCACCTGTGGGCCAGCAGATCTTTGGCTCTCTGTTAGGAAACAAAGATAATTTCAAGTCTATTGTAAAGTTACCTTATCTCAGTATTTACAATGACTAGATTCCAATTAATTCTAAAGAGATTTTTTGTATAAATGGTGATTTTTCAGATAAAGGCATAGGGATTCATTTTCTGCAAAATGATTACACATAACTTTCTCAGTACTTTCTTTTTTTGTTGACTTCAAGGTCTATCAGTAGTTTTATTTCTGAAATATTCCTCATAAATGGGTACTTCTAAAGTACATAGGGTGGTTGAAATTAGTTTATTCTCTTAAACAAACATTAATTAATTCTCTAATTAGCAAAAGTTTTCTTCATAACTATGACAAAAGGTAAATTTTATTTGAATCTAGTTGAAATTTTCATAACATTCAAAAAATGAATCTAAGTTACCAAGGTGAGATTTGCCTTTATTTACTAATTATAGTATGTCTAATGTTATAGATAATTTTAAAGTTATTTATTAGTCAAGATACTCAAATAGAATTTCATTTATTCAATTATGCAAGTTTTAGGGAAACACAGAAAAACAATTCCAAAAATTAATTTTGTCCAGAGAACATTTTGAAAATTCTGGGTTTGCTTTAGATAAAAAAACAAAAAAAATGCTCTCACTCAGTTGTAGAAATTCTGCATATTCTCTCCTTTCAAAATGTTTCTGACACTCTCACTTTAGTTTTTGACTAGTAAAAAGAATTCAGAGAAAAGTTCTTTGGAAGTGACTGAGTCTAGATTGATTTAGGTAGATTATATGCATTTTCATAGCTTTATTCTATAATTATTCAGGAAGAAGAACTTTATGAGTCCATTGGGTTTTGATAAATGAACATGGGATTGATTTACTGATCTATAGTTAAAGCCCTGAAGTAAATAAGCCTTTTTTTTTTTTTGAGTCTGTTGAGCTATTTCTTGGCTGAGTGGAAGTCTGTCTTGATGGATCATAACCATTTAGAATGATCACTTTGTTGAATGGAGGCATCTAGTTCAGTCACACACAAAAAGTTATGACCTGATTCAGCAAAAAAAAAAAAAAAAAAAAAAAAAAAAAAAACCATCAGCCTTTTCCTCAAGTACCCACAAAAGTACAGTTTTGGTGATTCAAGTCCTTAATGATTACTCCTAAACCTTAAACTGTGAAATTTAATGATGCAAGGCAAAAATAATTTTTCCTTGTATTTAATTTAAAGTTAAACCATGTTGTCTTCATCTGTAAGACTTTTTGTCTGATCAACACACTGTAGGCTGGGTTAGAACAGAAACTTACAAAACTTAGAACAGAAACTTACAAAACTTACAACTCAGTTTTGGATGATGGGAAGTTCAAGATCAAGGCACTGGTTGATTGGTGTCTTTGAAGAGCTTGTTTTTCATGTAAAACTGACTTCTCACTAACTTCACCTGGCAGATGGTTGAGGGATCTGTTTGAGACATTTCTATAAGGGTGTTAATCCCAATCATGAGGGCTTCTCCCTGAGGACTTAATCACCTCCCCGAGGTCACACCTCCTAATATTATTGCCAAACCTTTTAGAGTTCTAACAGGTGAATTTGGGGCTGAAACATTCAGTCCACTGTACTTTAATTTGGCACATTAATATCATTTGTCCTGTAAAATAGGAAATAGACATGAGGTTTTAATTTTATATTTTATTAGTATTTCAGATTATTTAGGAATTTTTACTATATATTTAGAGTTATTTATATGCAGTGATTTTGTAGAAAGTGTGTCTGACTTATATTTTTCTTCTAAATCTACTGAACAATGACTTTTGGCTTACAGAATTTGATCTTTCTGGGTTGGATTTGGTGGTTTCTAAGATGACTTATATTTTTAGACTTTACATAATTTTTAAGTACCCAATATTAACATCCACTATGGATTAATTTTTGAGATATTTTCATTTATTAATTCATTAATTATTTATTCAGTGTTTACTGTGTACTAAATCCTAGGAATAGATAACTAAGGCCTTTGCAGTTTGGAATGTAATAAAACTGGGATTCTTCTAGTCATGGAGCTTATAGAGAATCACAAAGTAATCATTCCTCTCACCACATGCACACACACATACAGTCATGTGTTAGTTAAGCATGGGAAGGGGAGACAGTGGGAAACATTGTGGAGTGTGTTTATATAGCTAAGAACGCTGTAGCCTCACTAGGTAATGAAATCTTATGGGAGCACTATTCTATATGCAGTTTCCATTGTTGACACATATTCAGTTAAATATACAAATTCAGCTAAAATGGTAAAGTAAAGTACACATAATTACAACACATAATGTTAGGATGAAGAAGGTTGCTCTAAGCTGAGGAAACAATCTAGGTGAATAGATAAAATTTCACAGAGGCTATGGCATTAAGGTTAAGGTCTACAATACAAGACTTGGAAATAACTACTTAAAGAAGAAAATGCAAAATTTTATATAGATTAATAAAGATTTCAGTGTATCTTCCACCAGAATAATTTAAAAAGAGAAATTGCAGAGTTAAAATTTGACTATTTAAATAACAGCTCTTAAATTTTAGAGTAATCAAAACAGTGTTGACACAAAGCAGAAGTATAAATTGTCCAAGGAAATAGATTTAGACCTTAGACACAGACTCACACATTTGGAACATTCATTATATGACATTATATGACGGTGAAGTACTGAAGATCAATGCGAAAAAGAGTATATATTCAATAAATGGAACTGAGAATGAAATGGTAATCTGTGTGGAAAAAGATGCCTTACTCTTCTTCCCAGTTGATATAAACTTTGGATGTACTACAAATATGAATGCCAAAACCAAAATTTTAACTTGAGTAGAAAAAAAATTAGGCATCTACATGATCTTGAAATAAGGAAAATTCTAAGACAAAACACAGGAAACATTGACATCAAAAAATAAAAGAGAAGTCACACATTGTTGAAGATATTCAAAGAACATACAGCTAACAAACTCTTACCAAGTATATATAAATAATGATAATATGTGTGTGTATATATATATCTTATTATTAATAAGAAAAGCCCAAATAAACTGACTATGGTCCATGCATGTAGTCCCAGTGACTCAAGAGACTGAGGCAGGATGATTGCAAATTCAAGGCCAACCTCCGCAACTTAGGGAGACCCTGTTTCAAAATAATATATAAAAAAGGGCTGAGGGTGTGTAACTTAGGGGTATAGTGCTGCCCTGGGTTCAATCCCCAGTATATCCTGCCCTCCCACACACACAAAAGAAAGAAAGAAAAAGCAGAAACCTCCAAATAACCCTAAATATAAGCAATAGATAGACACTTTAGAAAAGCAAACACATATGGCAATTAAACTTATGAGGAGATAATTAATATACATTATAATCAGGGAAAAACAGATCAAGGCTACAATGACATGCATTTATATCCATTCACCTAACAATAATTAAAAAGGTTAATAATGCCAATCATTAGAGTTGATGCATGTCTACACTTTTGTGGTGAATCCAGATAACAATTTAGTATTATCTCTGAAATCTAAACATTCATACAGGACTCAGAAGTCATAGTCATATATCCAAGAAAATTTCTTTCACAAGTATGTTCATATCACCACTACTCACTGGAATAAAACTTGTAAATAACATACAGGCCAATCAATGGAAAAACTGAAGGATAGACATTTGGTATATAGATAGAGGGAATTATTATATAGTAATCAAAATGAATGCTCTTTCATCAATATGGATAAATCTTGACAATAAAGTAGTAAATTAATGATAAGTTATACCCCAATAGAGTAAGTATATATAGACTACTTGAAAGCAAAAAAAAAAAAACCCTAAAATTTAAGAACATACATTAAAAGAGTATATAGAGATGTAAGACTTCATAAAAAGCAAGTGAGGCTAACTATGAATATAGGATTTAGATTGTTGCCTGTCATGCACGTGGGGAAATAAGGGAATATGATCAGAGTGAACATTTTGACCTGATATGAACCATTTGGAATATGGGTTTGATGTATTTTTTTAAAAATTTCTATTAGTTGTTAATGGACCTGTGTTTATTTATTTGTTTATATGTGATGCTGAAGATAGAACCCAGTCAGTGCCTCACACATGCTAGGCAAGTGCTATACCACTGAGCCACAACCCCAGTCCTTGATGTATTATTTTTAATAACTAAATGAATAAAGAGAGCCACAGAATGCATTTAAAAAATGATAAGACACCAATGGGTTCCAAAAATAGGGCAGACATATTCAGATTTGTGTTGTGGAAGAATCACTGTGGATACAACATGGACAATGCATTGGAGAAGAGTTACTGTCTTCAGGGCACTGGATAGGAAGCTGTCCAGGAGTCTTGTGTTGGAAGTGATACCAATTATAGCAGACCAGCAGGAATGAGATGTGAGAGAAACAGGCAAAAATTGAAATCTGGGTGCTTGACAGGATCTGGAAGATATTGAAGGTATAGGTTCCATGCACAAGTCTTGGCTTTCTTGGATCCAGTTTCCAGAGGGAGGGCTCATTGTAAGAGATGATTTGAGCAGGATGGATACTGAGTT